CCTTTTTGTGCTTCCAGCTCCTGGTGCAGTCTTGAAAAGGCTCAAGGATGCCTCAGTGCTGGGCCCTAGTTGGACACAGACTTCTTTCTCAGCTCCAGAAGATTCATGTGGCAGGTTTGCTCAGAGCACGGGCAGGGGATTTTGCTAAAGCACTGTTTGTGGAATGAGCTGCACAAGACTGACTTCAAACATGCCTGTAGAATTGGTTAAATACATATACAATATAAAATGGTGTAGAAAAAAGTTTCCTTAAAAAAAGTGGAGCATCAGTCACAGCCCACAAGATCAGAGAACAGCTGGCTTGGAAAGCTCAGCGTTGGGCAAATGATGCTGACCACCTCACTGAGGCAAGCTTGGAGAGGAGGGGTTTGTGTCCATGAGGTCCTGGGGTGAAGGACAGGGCTGGGATTTCCTGCTGAGCTGTGCCTTTGAAGAGTAGCTGGGTCATAGGAGCGGGAAGGTGACTTTTTCTTGGAAATTAAGTCACTGATCTCGGAGGTGATCCCCCAGTTGCCTGTTTTGGCTTCAGAGAGCTGCTGTGCATTTTGCTGAAGGACACTCCTGAGAGTACAGGTGCAAAGTGAAGTTGCACACTCACTGCTCGGACTGGGCTTGGCTCTGAAAAGTTGGAGAGTCATGCTTGCACAGCATCTTTTTTGTCTGCACCTCCTAGAACAGAAGAATCAGAGGTGTCTAATAAGGTTCTTTTCAATCAGTAAGAGAAAAACCTGTATCCTCTTGTGCCTTCTGCATACACAGTGTAAGAAGTAGGTGTGATGTCACCTTTTTTGGTTGTCCTAGTAACAAGTTAAGCTGTTATTCAAGAGAAATGCACTGGGCTGTGCAGACAGGGTAGAGAAAAGAACACTCACTTTTGGATTTGAATAAATTATTACTTGAATTGTTTGTTACAATCAAGACAGAATACACTTGTGTATGGACAAAACAGTGCCAGGGTGCAGATGCACAGGACTGGACTGGATCCAGGTGAGAAAATAAATATTGCAAGCAGGAACTATAGAAAAGCCTAAAGATTTACACCCATCCCTTCATTGCAAGGAATAAGGCAGAAATAACAGTTTGGGCCTTGACACTGTCTAAATTTGTGATGACTTGTGGGGCAGAGAGAGGTGTAACCATGGGCAAGTTGCTTAGTCTAGAAATAAATTTTCAGTGCCAAATTTAAGCCCAAATCTGCTTTAAAAAAAAACCCTGAAAACAAACATGGCTGTTGTAGGTATATGTGACAGGAGAGGGTGTGGGATACAAGGTCGTTATCACACAGCTGTTCTAGCTCTGTGTACTCCCCTCTTTTCTTGAAATTTCTTGATCTGCATCCCACAAACCCTGAAGCCAAAAAAAAAAAAAAAAAACGGAAACTATGGTCAGTAGTAGGTCCTTCGCAGTAAAACATCTTTATAGTACCTAAATTGTTGTTGGGGGTCTGCTGAATCCTTGAAAAAGGACAGATTATTCTGGATTTGTCCATAAGTAATTGGGCAATAAATATGCTAATTAAGTATTCATCAATATGCTAATTGATCACTGGTGTCAATTGTTGAGGGTGGGTAGCTGGGAATGACCCCATCCCAGTAAAAGCAGAGTGTAAAAAGTGAAGTCTGCTTGCTTAGCCAATGGCTCAGAACAATCTGAGGTAGAAGAAAAGCTTCCAGAAAGGTTTGCAGTTATTTTTCTGGGTGATATGTTAATGAATGCATCAGGCTGATTGCTCAGGCAAGAATACCCAGTAATTAGCAGTTATGTCTGTGGTATGAGTCTTATGAGGCAGATAACCATTCTGAAGAACTGTCTGCAGTTCAGCCTGCTGGTGGCAAACGATTCAGGGAGATCTTGGGGATCGTTTTGGAACTGGCTCAGCAATGCTGCAAAAAGGAGTTTGAGGAGAGATCTCAGGATACAACTCGGGGCTGTCCTGGCTGAGCTCAGGGGGTGAGCTGAAGTTACTGGGGCCCATTAACCTGTTTGCTGGAGTGAGATGGTGTCCCTGCCATCAGATCATCACAGTCATTTGTACTAATGTATTTCCTACCAGAATTATGATAGGAAGAACGTTTAGGAGTTAAGTGAAGTCACAGCACAAGTGTTTTAAAAATGTCACACCTGCAGTGCTAGCATTCCCTCTTTTCCCACCAACTTCTGTGCCTGTTTGCATTGTGTCTTCCTGTCAGGATACTGCAGAACCAGAGAGAGAGCACAGCTTTGCTGAGCTGAGCAAGCGTGCTTGGTACCTGATGCTTTGTGAAAAGCACTTAGTGTGATAGCAGCTGGTTTGTGAGATCAAGAGACTCTAGCAGTACTCAAAGGAAAAAATCTTGGATGTGAAGGGCATGTTGTTAGCAAAGGAGCTGTTAAAAACCTGATGGAAATGCTGAGTTTTTTAAGTAAAAAATCTTTCTAAAATTAGATTACTAAAACAGGGAATGGGAATAAACAATCATTCGGGTGTGAAATTTCCCATTGTAAGGCATTTACTGAAAATCCACTGGAGAAGTGTTACAAGGGAATTTTGCTACTAGTCAGATTATTCTCCCTATTTAGGTGTGAACATGGTGCATCTGTTCATGAAACTTTGAGTAGTAAAATTTCAGTCTGTGCTGAAATACTGTTTTTTGACTTCAAAAAGAGCTGAGGATTGTTCTGTGGGATTGATCCTGGAGAACAGATCTGTTGTAAACATGTGGAGTTAAGCTGCAGGACTTTGATTTTTTTTTGCAGGAGCGGTTTCCTGGAGTTGTCTGGTGAAAATCATGCCTCAGAAGGCATCATCTAATTGTTCACAGCAGTGAACAATTCCAGTCTCCTAATCTATGGGAGAAGTGCAAAGTGGGATGTTTCCACACTTATAAATTATCCAAACGAATAAATCACTAGTTCAAGTTGCGAACAGAGCTTTGCAGGAAACCTGTGAAAAGGAAACAGCAGGAAGAGAGTGATCTATAAAATGATGGGAATAGGAAATCTGCCAGGGTCAAAAGATTTTTAGAGCCTTGTTCTTGGAGGGGAAAGTCAAATTCACTGCTGTTCATGTGGAAGACTGAGGAATGGCTGTTTGGTGAGTGTTTGTTGCTCAGGGAAATAATTTGTGATGGGGAGATGCAGGATCAGGTCATTGTACCTGGTTTAATTGAATACAGGGAAGGGGAAGGAAAAACATTAACTGTAGCCATGGGAAGGGTCATATCTGCCTCTGCTCTGGGAGGACTGCAGGAGGAACATGAACAACATCAGCTGAGATTTTGGTATTGTAAAGCTGATCAGTGGCAGCACCACTGAGGCTCCTTGACAGCAGTGGTTTGTCATCAGAGACAGAACTCCCTTCTTTTTGCAAACTGTAGTAATAAAGACTGCATTGCTTTATCTGTGTGCTTTTGCTGTTACAGGGAGAACAGCCCACAGCTCCTCTGCCTTCTTGAGAAAAGGCTCTACCTGCTGTGTTGATTGATTGAAGCTCACTGGAGACAGAGGAAGATTTAACACTCACTTGAGGGCTTCTCTTCATAAGTTCAATGAGATAGATAGCCTAAAAACACATTTCAGAGTTGAGATTTGCAGAGGGAGAACACAAAACAAGGAAACCCCTGCATTGTTGGGATGGCAGCAGTGTTGTGACAGTATAAAAGAATTGCTTTAATTAAAAGCCTCTGAAGACAGGAAATCCTTCTTTCTGAGCACTGCCCAAAGAAAGGCTGTTCTGCTGCTGCTCTCAGCACTCAGAGGTGCAGTAGCTGATGCCAAATTACAGAGGTTTCTCCTGGACCATGGAGGTGCTGTAGTGGTTATTAAGTCTCTGGGGACTGAACAAATATCTGCAGGCACTGTACATCCAGTACCAGGGTCATATTCCCTCCTCACTCCCTCCGAAAAAAAGTCTCAATCACTGTGGATTTAAAGACATTTTGGGACCATGCCACAGGATGTAAAGGCACCATTCTCCAAGGGAATTCTGTTCCCTTGCTTTTCAGGAGGAAAAAAAAAAAAAACTTATTGAAAATCCCATACTCAAAAAGAATAGTGATTTTATCATCCTTAGGAATATCCCTATTATTTTTTGTAACTAGGAGCAGGCAAACATCCATTATCAATTTCTATTATGTGTATGTTTTTCTAAGACAAAGTTTCTACTGTGTCACTTGTAGGAAAATTTTGGAGTAATGAGACGAAGTGCCATAACAATTTTCCACTGTGACAGGAGAAAATACAACTGTGTATTTTAAAGCCTTTATAAACCATGTTAAAATAGAAGCTAAAAGTATATACACCAGAATGTACTTTTTCAGTTACAAACAATCTGAGAAATTATAAATTAGCTTATTAATTAAAATTACCTTAAATTACGTTCAAAAAGGGAAGACTTTCAACTTGAGAAAGACACTTCTATAGAAATGGAAATTTTTGTTATTGAGGGTATTAAACTTCAAAGATAAGCAAGAGCTGAAATTACCTGGAAAAGTACTTCTAGTTCTTCTTCAAAAAAATTAAAAGGGGAGGGAGGAGGATGAAAGTTTTTCTGATAATCATCCTCTTTTTACTCTTAGTTACCTGTCTGTGTGTGGCAAAGGAACAAGAAAAGGAAAAAAATCCTCAAAAGACAAATTAAGAGCATAGAAAGCTGTAATTACTTAGACACCTTAACTCAGACATGTTCAGCAATAGAAACAAAACTAATTTTCCCACTAATTGCATTTCAGTTATAGCTATTCAAACAGTTTATTCTGAAAGATGAAGAATTCCAGCTATAAAATGCATCATTTGATATACATGACGCAAATTAGGTCTGTAATATTTTTGGTTCCAACCAGGATCGAAGGACAAAGAAATCCCAGGCAGAGCGACCGCGGTGCTCCGGCAGTGTGGGGCTGTTTGTCCTGTCACTGCTGAGGTGTCTGCCCTGAGCACCAGCAGTGCTTTGGGGATGTGCACTGGGTTTGCAGCTGTCAAGTGTTCCCCTCAAACGGAGTAACCCTTGTTGTGTGTCACAGGGATCATGTACCGCAAGTCCTGCGCCTCCTCGGCCGCGTGTCTGATCGCCTCCGCCGGCTACCAGTCCTTCTGCTCTCCTGGCAAGGTGAACTCCGTCTGCATCAGCTGCTGCAACACTCCCCTCTGCAATGGACCCCGGCCCAAGAAGAGGGGCAATTCTGCTGTGGTGCCGAGGGCACGCATGATAACCACTCTTCTGCTCCTTACGTTTGCTCTGTTGTTTTTGTACTGCTAAACTTCAAGCAAGTTGGTTTGGTGGGTTTTTTTTCCCCTGACACAATTTGTCCTGCATCCTTCTTTCTTCAGAGACGCTGCAATTATTTTCTGTTTGTTTCCAAATCCCTGTCAAGAGCAAGGGAAGTTCAGTGGCTGTGTGAAGAAAAGGGGCTGATATTTTTTGTCAGCTAATGAGTTCAGTTAGCAGATTGGATTTCCAGTGTGCACTTAAAATTCCCAGCAGGATACAGAACTCCTGTACCTTTTGCATAACTGGAAACAAATCCATCTGAGTTACTCCTTTTGCAATGTTGTCGCTTTCCTCAGTCATTTCAATGTCCATGTTTTTAAGCTCATTGCTAAGCATTAACTTTGCCTTATGAAGTCATACTTGATGTTCACAAAGGCCGTTCTGTGCGCCCTGACCGGGCTCTGAGCAGGTCTCGGGGGGCACCGCTTCCAGGCTGGGATCTCCTGGCGCAGGACCCGGCTCCCGTGGGCTGCAGCTGGGCGTGGGCTCCTTCTGGAAGGTGCTCAGGAAAACTTTGGCGTTGCCCTTGGTGGAAGAGCCGCGCCTGGAGGAGGTGAAGAGCAGCGGGCGCAGGGAGCGGCTGCTCCGCGCCCCGGAGCTCTGGTTGGCCCTGAGGAACCTCTCCTTGTTGGCGTGCTGCAGGGTGAGGCGGCAGCACAGCACCTGCAGGAACACGCTGCGGAACTGCCGGGACGAGATGTTGTACAGCAGCGGGTTCACCACCGAGCTGAGGTAGAAGAAGATGTCGGCGATGGGAAGGAGGGTGATGTAGGCTTTGAAGTAGGGGACGGTCCAGTCCTGCTTTGGTTTAGCAGCAGCCATGATCCTTCTGACCTGGTTTGGCATCCAGCAAACCGCCAGAGTGGCAACGATCAGTCCTGCGGGCAGAGAGAGCAAGAAAGAGGTCTGTGTACGTGGGGGAAGACACATGAAATGCTATCAGTTCTGCACTTACTTGTTAGGAAATGGTACCAATTTTTCAGTGTTTTGCTTGACAGCTTTTTCTGCCAGTAGCATTTTTTGTTTGTTGTTTTCAATAACTGTTGCAAGGTCACTGTGACACATGCTCAGACAAAACACTGCATAGCGTTTGGATGGTGTTCCTTTGTACCTGTTGTCATTTATTGGTTCTCAAAGTGTTCTTTCTCTGATCATCTGTGTCTTTGAAAAGAATACAGTTTTATTTTGGTTTACATTTCTTACATTTCTTCTGTCTTTCCCTTTACTTTGAAAAACCAACACAGTAAATAGAACCTATAGCCATATTAGATCAGGCAATACCCAGAAGAGATCAGATTCTTGTTTGTACTTTACGAAAAAGAAAATGTATGCATAATAATATATTTCGTGTTATTTTTGGTAGATTTCCTCTTACAGAAGCTATTTTTAAGTAAAATGTGTATGGATCTTTTTATGGTAATTAAGATATGTTGGGCTTTCTTAAAAATCAAATTCCAGTGGAATTTAATGATGAATGTAAATGAGAAAAACCCAAGCCTAGTCATGAAAGTGTAAGCAGTTTCAGATTGTAAATTACGCTTTAAAATGTGGTATCTGACCATTTTGTATTTATATGTAAATATAAATACATGTTGCTGCATCACTAATGGCATTAAAAAGGGGTGGCCGAAGTGTTGGATGTCTGAAAATTCTGCCTGTGTGGAGCGTGTTCCGCAGGGTGCAGCAGCCCTGCAGGACCATGCCAGGGACTGGAGCTGGCTGTTCCAAGCAGGACATGGAGCAGGAGCAAGGCACCTCAGTGGCATCCTCTGCTGCTGCTGTGTGCCAGTGCTGGAAACCCTCACACCTTGTGTGACATCCCAGGTACACACAGTCACTTCTGCTGCTCCCCTCTTTGCTCCTCCCTGTGCAGGAACTGTGCCTTACACAAACTTTGGAGGGAGCAGAAGCTGTACCTGGCTGCTTCCCTGCAGCAGGGAGTGTCCTGGGGGGCAGTTCTCACCCTGTGTTCCCTGACCTCTGCTCCCAACAGCAGCACAGAAGCTCTTTCATTCTTACTTCTCTAGGCTGAGTTTTGCCCCCACTGGACAGGTCACTGTGGCAATGCCATTCGGAAATAGCAGGGTTTTGAAGCCAGGAAAAGGACACTTCACTAGCAGGAAGATGGGAATGTAACAGGGAAGGGAGGCAGGAAAGAGAAGAAAGATTTTTCATAACTTTGAAACTGCCAGAGCTTCAGGCTATGTCCAAGTTCTTGCCACCAGTACCCCCAAGCAAAGAAAAGGTATGAAATGCCTTTAAAAAAAAAAAAAAAATTTTTTTTCATAAAAGGGATAATTAACAAATTTATTATCTCCCTGAATGAGCTACCAAATAAAAGCTGTCCTTTGGATCCTTTGCTTCTGTAATCACTTACTATCACAATAACTTTGTTGGAATGGGGAAATAGCAGATCTTAAACGTACAGCACTGGCTTAAGAGCCCTGGAGGGCTGTTGTTGGCAGGCCAGCAGTAAATCCATCACCAAAACCTTTGCCATTTTCAGGTCTTTGCCTACCAGAACTCTCCTCAGCCACTGTTTCTTTGCTCTCGGTCCCACAGTCCCCTCCCTGCCCCTGATTTTCCCCTGCCACCTTGCCTCACTGTCCAGTACCTGCTGTGCCTCTGTGATCTGAATTTTGTATTAATCCTGGAAATGTTTGTGGCCTTCGGTGCTCTTTTCCTGCTGTCAACTTAACAACTGTAGGGTGTCAATCCTGGCATGGGCCAAAAGGAAATAAGGCCCCCTGAGCAGTGACTTGTGATGAGTCTTATAAAAAGGCAGTGGAAGCATTCTGTTGCTTCACTGGGGCTTTTTCTCTGGTGGAACTTAAACACAAAGTTCACAGGCCCAAATCTCTGGAATTCTCATGAAATTTTACCAGAAGATATCTTTCAAGTGAGAAGAAAATAAGCTGTATTGTACAATATTTTTTTTTTTGTTCTTGGTTAGAAACAGGATCCTTTGTCATGCTGATTAATAGTTTCCTAAATTATGAATGCTGCTGTGAAAAACTGTGAGCAAACAATGTGTGCATTCATTTTTAAAACCCAACTGCATTGCTCTGTCTTCTCTTTTTTTTTTTTTTTTTTTTTTTTTTTTTTTTTTTTGCCTCTATCCGAATTCCTTGGCAGTGACTTTTCTTTTTAATTCAAACTGCCAAGTGCTTAAGATACCCCCTTATATTCCTTAGACACTTTTGTTCTGGAGAAGGGACTATCTGGTAGTGTGTACAGCGAGTGAAAAATGAGCTGCTTGTGTCCTTGTGCAGCACAGTGAGGTTTGTCTCTCGGGGGGGCGGGAGGGGATGTCTGCAAAACTGTTGTTTTCCGGGCATGACTAATTGTTCATTTTCTTCACACTTGGAGAAGATGCTTGTTGACTCAAAGGAGATGCACCAGGCAAATAAACATGCTGACAGACTGACAAGATTTTTTCCAACTTTCACACTTGGCATGGCAGCGTGGAGCAAACGCAAGCGCAGCAGAAGAGCAGCTCGGGAAGCCTCTGAGCTCAGCCCTGCTGCTGCCAGACTGAGCCTGGACTCCAGGAGTTTGTGTTCTGCTGCTGTGCCAAAGGTGCTCAAACAGCCTTAACCAGCTGGGATGGAAACCACACTGAACCTTACACCTGTAATGTATTTTTCCCGTGAGCTTGCTGCCTGGTGGGAATAATTCTTCACGTTTCATCTTTGCCTTCCACTCCTTCTTATTAAAGGGAGAAAGATCAGTAGCTCTGCTTTTTCCCCTCCATTTTCCTGACCACTGTATGGAAGTGACACAGAGCAGAGCTTTATCTTCCATGGAATAACCATGTTTATAAACAAAGTAATGCTGTGGTTCTGCAATGTCCATCACTGGTGCTTGAAATTTCCAACTCCCATTTGAACTATTCCACTTGAATCATCAGAAGGGCATTAGAAAAATGCCAGCAAAAACCAGGAGCCCTTGTATTACCTTCTGTAAGTAAGAACATCTCAACCTTAAAGTAAGAGCAGGAGCTTAGAATTCATTTGACATTGATTTAGATATTTCAAGGTAACAAACAAAACAAAAGATATGAAAAGGTCCTTGACTGAAACTACATTATAAAGTTAACCCATAAACAAGCCACAATTTACCCCAAAATAGGAATTACCACATCCTTACTACTATTTGAATCTGGAAAAAACACTGCCCAAGCCTCCTTACAAACAAAGCATACAAATTTAACAACACTTTAAATTTGGGATTCATTATTCTAACTTCCCAAAAGTCAATCTCACAGTATTAATTCTTAATATGTGACAAAGGATCATTTATGTAGTAAAATAAACCTAGCATTTAAGTGCCAATAGTATAAATATTCATGGCTGGCAGAGAATAGGAGTTTGGCAGTCATGTGTCCCTTAGCAATACTTTTTTATTACTCAGAAAATTCCTCTGGGCCATAGGGGACTGAATTAAATTCATTATGAACTTTATTGGGAAGGATTTTAAGTATATGCAGATGTCTGGTAGAGAGGACTTCCTTTCCCCCACTTTCCCTTGTTCTTCTGTTATAGATTTTTGTCCTTTTTTTCTCTACCTAAGCACTTAAATCTGTCTCCTTTTAAAACCCAGTGGTTTGCCTCTATCCTGGCTGCTGCCAGTCATCCCAAAAAGCCTGAAATTGTCAACAAGATCATAATTGCTACCAGACAGTGCCAAGAACATGTTTCCTTTGGCTGCCACAGCCCCTTAGCTGGGGCTGTCGGTGACATCAGGTACACAGTCCTTTGCCTGTGCACCTAACCCTGACCATCCTGGTGGGTCAAGGTCTGCCAGACTCTGCTCCTGCTCTGTCCCAGCCAGCCCAAAGCACTGTTAGACCTCAACTTCGCCTCTCTGGGATTTAATTAATGACACAAAGGCAGGCTCTCAGCATCTGCTTGTAAACTGACATTTAAATGGCAATTGTCAGTGGAATATAAACATATGGTTACTGAGCTGTGAGTCAAGTGCAGGCAGAAATGCAGTTGGTTCAGAGGAAGAGGTTTTTTTAGTGTTGGTTTCACTTTTGTGTACTTGGCCTGACTTTACTCAAAGGCACAACGTGACACTGATGCTTAGTCACAAAGTCTTCAAACGGCGCCTCAGAAGTGCCAAGAAGTCCCAACAGAGGAAGAAAGACCACCTTTAATTATTAAGTTTACCATCATAAAGCAATGCTAATTGTGAGGAATGCACTTTGTCCCTACTGGATTCTGCTACAGACTGCTTTGAAAACATGTGCAGGAATACCTTCCCACTAATCAGGGTCCCAATGGTCTCAATACCAGCCACTAATAACTCAGGAGAAGGGAAAAAAGGCAAAGACAGCAGTACTAATTAAGAATGCTACTTTCAGGAGGTGGGGTTGGCTTGTATTTGTGTTACATTTATATTTTGACCCGGAAAAAAATCTTGCATTTTGTTAGAAATGAAGACATAAGGCACTAGTTTATTGTCTTTCTAGCTTCCAAGAAGAGTCAAGGCATGAAATGCAGTTTTCAATCACTGACATAACCTTCCCAACTGCAGATCAATGCAGTGCTGTCTTCCAGCATCTGCAGCTGCTCCATGCCTCTGCTGCTGCACCTCCCTGCATGTGAGGAGTCAGCTGCCATATGCTTGTTGTCTCCTGACAATTGTCATTAAAATGTCAGATTACAAACAGCTGTTGCTTTCACTGCTGCAGGTTTGGCTTGTGAGTGCAGCAAGGAAAGCAGGCAGAGTGATGCCTGAATGGCAGCTGCCCCTCAGCACTGCAGGCTGCTCTGCCTCGGCATGGGAAACTGAGGCAGGCTGGAGCACCACCTCAAGCAGGGCACTGTCTTCCATGCTCTCCAGCCTCATGGATCTCCTCCTGGTTCTTCTTCAGACAGGGAAGAGTTTGGAGCAGTTTCTCTGCTCCTCGAGCAGCTGGGTAGAATTTCAGACCCAAGACTGCAGCTTTTAACATCTCCTGGTGAGTACCTGGTGTCAGCCACTGTCCAAAAAGTGACTCGGCCTCCTCTCCATGTCTGACCAACAGCAATGAGCTGTTGATGAGCAGGAGGGTGGGAAATAGGAATACACCTTCTACTTCTGTTCCCAGTCCCATCATTGCCTCCCCCATCGTCTCCCTTGGGTTTAAGTTCAGAAAGTTTAAAAGTGTTTCTTCAAGGCTTCTGTGGAAATTGCAGCATTTATGCCAGAGCTGGTATCTCCACATAAAGGGTCTGTATAGCACAAATCACATGCTAGAAGGCCTTTGTATATCCTAAATTAGTCTTGTGATATTTAGTGCTGTCATGCCTGCATCCTTTTTGTACAGCCTGTCATCATCTCTCTGCCTTGCTCTCTAAGATCTAGAATAAGGGGAAAAAGGCAATGGGATAATCCTCCCGACACAGAGAAGGGGCCACACTCCTCTTGCCCACACACGATTGCAGAAGGCCCGAGCAGGCTGCTGGGCTCTCTGTGGCCCCAGAGTGCCCACAAATGCAGCTCCAGCTGGCCCAGACACACTCACACTTGTCACACGGGTGTGAGATCAGCCTGCACAGGGCTCCTGTCACATCCAGCTGTGTGCCCCTGTGCCCACTTGCAGCACCCTTGTCTGGGCAGTGACAGCTGGGTCTCAGATCAG